GACTTCAGCAAAGTTGCCGGTTGCCGTGAAGCTCTGTTCTTCATTCCCACTTTCCTCCAGTCCCTCACAAGTTTCTCACTCACTCCACACTTTCTTTCTGCTGCTCGATTACCATTTTTAGCTGCAGATTTCACGACTTGCAGCAGGACAGAGGCTCTTTCTGAGACATGTGCAGTAGAGTGAAGTGACAGTGGTACAGGAGTAGCAGATACTGACACACAAGTCTAGAGCGACCTCTCATGACTGTCAGTGTGAATATTTTAATATATAAGTCACACTGGAGTATAAATCGCAGGAAACACCCAAACCATGAAAAAAGTGCGACTTATAGTCCAAAAAATACAGTAATACTTTAGTGGTCATTGTAGTCCTGCTTTTTGGAACTACAGCTTCTCATGTTGTGTAACTCATCAGCTCTTAACCCTTTTTTCATCCAAGCCAAAGGTTAATTCAAGGGGAACCAAATCTCACAAGATAATTTCTACATGTTTGCACAAACTTGTGGCAATTTTGTCTCGTGAAATCTTGTTCCATCCCTAAGACAGACTGATAAATAGAGTATTCAAGCATGTGTGAATGAAACAAAACACATCTCCAGGTCTGTTTTTGATGAAGAAACAACATTATAACATAGATCAAAAATAACCTAATATGGGCCTCTTAAGTACTTCCCTTGAATTTTTTTCATTTATTACAAATACAAAGAAGTTCCACTCATGTCCAGAGAAGTAAACACTTGAGATTTACTTGAGTACTTTGTTATAAGACTCATGTTTGCCTTCACATTACTCAAACATGGGTCTTATTAGTACACAACCATTCAAAAGTACAATGTTTTTGTATTAAAATGTCCTCTGCATGTCCTCATAGATCCAAGGACCAGGGACTTTCTAGTGATGAGGCCAGATGTTCCACTCTGTTACTGTACCACCTGTGGCCTCATCTGCTTCCATGTTGCATCTATCAATAGATTGGTTCATCTTCTAGGTTTTGATGATGTTGCCATTTCAGCTTAAGAGTGAGTGCCACTGAACCTTTTCATTCTTGGTTTGGGATTGGTTCCACAAAAGTGTAATATTAACCTCAAGGCTTAATGTCCTTTCAACTGACAACAATCACGTTGGGGAACTATGTGTTTTCGTTTCATGTGGATAGGCCCACATGCTTTCTGACAGTGAACTGTATGTAGCCTGCACTCTAACTGTTCTAAAAATATATAACAATCACATCTGAACCTGTGTCTCCAGAGCCTTCACCTGCAGATAAAGACCCATCCAGGTTTGTCTCATTCTCAATGTATGGACAGGCCTTGTGTGAAGCTCAGAACCTCCAGAATCCACCCACTGAGCTGCAGAGGCTGCACTAGCACTGACTCATGATTGGCTGTGGGTCCTGGATTTCAGCACTGACCCTGGCAACCCAAACGAGAGAGATTTGATAATCATCTGTAATTAACAATAAATCAGCATTACAGTTGTTATGAGTAAATGTTGTATTTGATATATTTTGCTTACACCTTCTGTCTGGGGACACAGATGAGTCTAGTTTAGGAACATTTTTATATATAATTCCTTTAAACTGCTTTGCACCATAGAATTTGAACCTGTCCTCACACTCCCAGATGCACAAATGTTGAATCTGATCGTTTATATTAGTGACTAGAAGAAGAAGTCTCTCTTCAACAATATTTATTTAATGCTACTCCACATTTGTATTAAATAATACTGGCCTATATTGTGACGCCATGTGAGCCCAGCAGCAGAGCTTCTGACTGTTGTGATGTCACATGAACACGGCCAGTCCACATGTTTTCTACAAATGTTCCATGGGTTAGAATAAAACACACGATTGACACGTTTAAATACTGAAATCGTTCGGCAGTGGGCCAGCCAACTCCGGACCATAGCACCAGACATCTGCTGTAGCACCGTTTACAACATCTGCTGTAGCACCGTTTACACGGACATGAGCCAAACCCAGAGTCCACACAGAGTCCACGCAGAGTCCACACAAACACAGAGTCCACGCAGAGTCCACACAAACACAGAGTCCACGCAGAGTCCACACAAACACAGAGTCCACACAGAGTCCACACAGAGTCCACACAGAGTCCACACAGAGTCCACGCAGAGTCCACACAGAGTCCACACAAACACAGAGTCCACACAGAGTCCACACAAACACAGAGTCATGTACGGACTCATGTTCAGTCTGCATGAGTGGTCATGAACACAACAGGACAAAAAAATCCACCACAAAACAAACTGTGTCCTCCTATTTGACTTTGAGGAGTTTTAAATGGAAGATCATTTGTTTCATCATATTTTGTTTTGTGTGTTCACCTTTTACATTTTCAGTACAAATATTTTCAAAACTTGAAATTCAACAGTCAAAATTCAGAGTGTAAAATTCACAGTGAAAAAGTTTGTAACAAAGCTCCAAGATGCCAGTGGATCATGTGGGACTGAGGAGCACAGAGTTTAGGGAATCAAAGAGATGAAGTTTTGATGAGGTTGATTCTGACCAGTCACATCTGTTCCCTGCACCATTTTCTGGTTGTTACTTTTAGATCAGGATCGACTGTTTAGGCCTTGGCATCTTGGATCTGATCAATGTGAATAGTTTCACTGTAAATTTTACACACACACTGTTAAATTTGAGAGCCTGATATATGTGGATATGTAAAAGCTGATTTTTTTCTATTGAAATTTCAAATATACAAAGTATACATAAAATTTCATTAACTGAAATTCTAAATAAAAACAATTCCAACATGTCTTTAAACAGAAAGTGACCCTTACTGGAAAATGTAAAAGTGGGCAAGGTACAAACCCGAGGCACTCCGACTGAATATATTAAAAGTTCTTTATTACCTGAAGGGACGCCAACTCGTTTTGACCAGCAAGATGGTCTTCGTCAGGGAAAAGTGTTAAAAACAAGACACAACAGTGTCATTAAATACTATCAATCACATGACAACATCACATGACAATTGGAAAAAGACAACGAGCAATGGAATATATAGGTGATGAGCCTATATATTCCTCGGGTTTGTACCTTGTCCACTTTTACATTTTCCAGTTAGAGTAACTTTCTGTTTAAATTCTACTGTTTTAACCCTTGTAGAACACCTGCACTGCAATTTTTTACTCTTTTATGACCCAGTGAAGTGCTCAACCTCTTTTTCTTCAACTGATAAGTCCAACATGTATTTTCAGAGTAAAAAAAATCAAAATGTGGAATTCATCTGCATGTAAAAAGAACAATGTGATGAAACAAATGAGCTTCCATAGTTTCAGTCCAGACAAACGTTGAGTGGTGTTTACAGGTGGTACTTCAGGTTCAGTCCCAACGTCCTATAAAATGATTTCTTGAGCTTTCAAATGTCTTAATAATGTTTCCTCGTCAAAAGCAGATCCCTCTGCAGAAGCTGAAAGCAGGTCTCAGATGTTGATGCTTTACAATCTTCAGATCCATCAGTGTTTGCTGTTAGCCTCATTTAAAGGTGTCAGTCCTGAGTGCAGCAGCAGCAGCAGCAGCAGCAGCAGCAGCAGCAGCAGCAGCAGTGCTCTGTCTGTCCTCTGCTGCAGTAATGTTCATGATCAAAAGTTTGCGACGACTTTGACTTGTTTTCCATACATGATTTGAAGACCAAGGTTAAGTGGCCATATGTATGCTAACACCTGAATAATGCAGTATGGCGGGGCTTTAACACGCTGCATGAATACTGCACACTGTCACCTCGGTAATAATCCTGCTCCCTGACGTCAATCATGTACCACATTTACATGTTACTGTGTTTACCATTGTACCAGAGGTTAAACAGTTCTCTATTTACAACATGTGAAAAATCAGGGCCGTTTCTAGCTTTATGTGGTCAATGCATGACACTAAAATAGTCTTAATACTGAAGAAGAAATGACGTTTATAACCCCCTTTAAAAAGGTCACACTCAAGGCCCTAAAAGTCCTCTTACAAATACAGCTGTAAAATCATCATAGATTAACCACTTTTCATACTTTTTTTGACTAAATCCAAAGCTCTATCCCTGCTCTGATTAAAATTATCATTAAAAAATCTCTCTCTATTTAAATACTGTTTGAAAATTTTGATTTCACATGTGATGTAAAAATCTAAAATTGAGAAACTGTATCTTCCAGAAAACTGAAGCCTAAGTATAAAGAGGTACAGTTTTATATGTGTCCTAAGAAGCTCCAACTTTGTCTAAAATTTGAAGTTTGTAGCAGTTTTAGTTTTTTGTAGGATCAGATAAGAAAAAAAAGGCACATTTAAGATCCTAAGGACATAAATGTTCACTTCACATTCATATCAGTGCAGTAGCAAAAAGGGGATAAAACCTTCAACTAAAGAAAAAGAATTAGGCCTTTCCACTGAATTTAAATAGAGGTGGGCTGACTAAATTAAAAAAAAGAAGACAAATGCACATAAGGAAGTCTGAGGATTAAATAAAAATGAAAGAAATAGCAGATTGTTTTGTTCTGTTTCATATGTTTTTTCATCAAATAAAGACAATAAACTAGTGAGGACTTTGGAGAAGCCGGGGGTGTGTGTGGATGTGTGTTAGAACTAAGCAAAGGTCTGCCACGTCTCTGCACACATGTGGAAAGAGTTTGGAAGCACCGTCCAACATAAAGTCTCCCTGAGAGTTCGGACAATAAGGATGAGACAGTGTGGGCGTGTCTGGGACAGTTATCAGATCAACAGCCCCTGAGCTTTAAGACAGGACTCCGACAAAACACATCAAAATCCTCCTCATATTTGAAGTTTCCATTGTTGCTATCCAGAAAGGCAGTTGTTGAGATGATTTTGTGTCAGCCTGGGTTGGTCTCCATGGCATTGCAAAACACATCGGCCGAGCACAAAGTTAGAAACGGCCCTGTTCATTCTATTTATCAAGTGCAAAAAACTGTACATTCTTTTTGCATAGTCCGGATAAAACGCCTCCACAAGACTTCCGCTGAAGAAGAGTCGAGTTGTCTTCACCTGAGTGCTCCTCTCGGCTGGGGCGCTTGGGTTCCCGGGTTAGCTGGTGTCCGTTGGGCCCCTGGAGCTCTGGGGCCCGGGTTAGCTCCGGTCTGTCTGCTGCCGGGCTGGAGGATCCGCGGGTGGAGGCTACACGTCCGACAGCACTGGGTCCTGACGTTGGCCAGGGAGCAGCGGCCCAACCAGCGCAGAGTCTGACAGAAGCGTGAGGTGAGGCGGTCGCGCGCACACACTGCTCCTGCGGCGAGAGGAGGCACACATGTAAAGGGTTAAATAAGACACAATGCATTATCAGTGTTATTATTGGCTTTAAAAGTAAAACTAAACACTAAATCCAAGTTTTTTTTTGCTACTAAACTGTGTCGATGGTGTTTTAATTGCATTATCTACTGTTCCCACTCATGTTTGGCAGCTTCAGTGCAAACTAGGATATAATGACCAGATTTTCAATTAAAAACTGGGACACACCCGGGTTGGGATGGTTGATAAATAAAACTCATGTGGGTCAATGTATAATCTGAAACAAAATACAGAGGAGCAATCTTCTGTATTTTGGCTGAACAAATGCAATTTCTCTGGTTTAGTCCTGGTGTAGACCTGATATAGACCTGAAATGGTCCTAGTTTAGTCCTGATTTAGACCTGGTTTAGCCCTGAAATAGCTCTGGTTTAGTCCTGGTTTAGATCTGAAGTAGTCCTGGTTTAATCCTAGTTTAGACCTGGTATAGTTCCATTTTAGCCCTAGTTTAGTCCTGGTTTAGTTCTGGTTTAGCACTGGTTTAACCCTAGTTTAGCCCTCATTTTGTCCTGCTTTAGACCTGAAATAGACCTGATATAGACCAGATATAGTCCTAGTTTAGGGCTGGTTTAGTCCTGGTTTAGACCTGAAATAGTCCTCATTTAGTCCTGGTTTTACCCTAGTTTAGACCTGATATAATCCTAGTTTAGCTCTGGTTTAGTCCTGGTTTAACTGTAGTTTAGACCTGGTTTAGACCTGAAATAGACCTGATATAGTCCTGGTTTAGACCTGGTTTAGACCTGGTTTAGATCTGAAATATGCCTAATATAGAGCTGATATAATTCTAGTTTAGTCCTGGTTTAGTCCTGGTTTAGATCTGAAGTGGTCCTGGTTTAATCCTAGTTTAGACCTGGTATAGTTCCATTTTAGACCTAGTTTAGTCCTGGTTTAGTCCTGGTTTAACCCTAGTTTAGCCCTCATTTAGTCCTGGTTTAGACCTGAAATAGACCTGATATCGTTCTAGTTTAGTCCTGGTTTAGCCGGAGTTTAGACCTGATTTACACCTGAAATAGTCGCGATATAGACCTGATATAGTCCTAGTTTAGGGCTGGTTTAGTCCTGGTTTAGACCTGGTTTAGACCTGATATAGATCTGATATAATCTTACTTCAGTCCTGGTTTAGACCTGAAGTAGTCCTCATTTAGTCCTGGTTTTACCCTAGTTTAGACCTGGTTTAGTCCTGGTTTAGACCTGGTTTAGTCCTGGTTTAGACCTAATATAGACCTGATATAATCCTAGTTTTGTTCCGGTTTAATCCTTGGTTTAACTGTAGTTTAGACCTGGTTTTGACCTACTATAGTTCTATTTTAGCCCTAGTTTAGTCCTTGTTTAGTACTGGTTTAGCCCTAGTTTAAACCTAGTTAAGACCTGGTTTAGACCTGGTATAGTTCTATTTTAGCCCTAGTTTAGTCCTAATTTAGTCCTGAAATAAATTTAGACCTGAAATAGTCCAAAATAGTGACACCTGGGACATTTCTTGTATATTTTGTGTGATAAATACAGAAGACATCCAATATATAATACAAAATATATGGAATTATGTAACTCAACTATATTCTTTTTTACATATTATATTCAAATCCTCACAGTATCCACCTTTTGTCCTCAACGTTTATTTGAGTTATTTTGAGTTTCTATTCTGTTTGGCACATTCACAGCTTTCATACTTTCAGTGAGAATCTATTGTATAAATAATCACAGAAATAAAGAAGAAAAAGGGGTGAAAAGTATGTCCAAACTCCTCCTTTGTCTCACTGAAGAATGAAGAATGAGCAGAGTAGAGCTTTTTGAGAGGTTCTGACAGCTCATCCAGTTCATTAGAGGTGAGACATAATGGCGTGTAAGTGTACGGCGTTACTCTCATTATTACGTCATCTTGTCATGTTTTGAAGAGAATGAACACCTCAAGCTTTTAACCCCGGAGAAAAACAAGTTGAGTGAAGAGGCTCGATGTAGAGGCCTCTCCACCTCGTCCTCATTCGCTCTTCCCATTAGGAGCAGGCCTGGAGCTGCACTCTTCCAGGAGCCCTCGCCTACTCCCCCCTTCCTCCTTCCCTCCTTCCCTCCTTTCCTCCTTCCTCCATCCAGCGCCCCCTCCTTCCTCCTGCAGTGTGAGCTCAGGTCAGTGTGTGTGAGAAAGAAATAATAACCTTCAACAAAATGAGAAAAACTACAAAAGAATGCAATACTCTACAACAACTCACCCTCGTGGAACAGATAATACTCCCTACAACTCACCCTTATGTGACAGATAATACTCCTTACAACTGCACAACAACTCACCCTTATGTGACAGATAATACTCCCTACAACTCACCCTTATGTGACAGATAATACTCCCTACAACTCACCTTTATGTGACAGATAATACTCCCTACAACTGTACAACTCACCCTTATATGACAGATAATGCTCCCTACAACTGTACAATAATTCAACATTATGTAAAAGATAATACTCCCTACAACTGTACAGCTCACCCTTATGTAACAGATAATACTCCCTACAACTGTACAAAAACTTCACCCTTATGTAACAGATAATACTCCCTACAACTCACCCTTATGTGACAGATAATACTCCCTACAACTCACCCTTATGTAACAGATAATACTCCCTACAACTGTCCAAATCATTTCCTTACAGAGAGGACAGAGTAGAGCACAAGGTCCTGGTGTGAACACATAAGGACACAGAGATGTTTACCACTGCCTCAACAACAAACACTGTGTAAGGTGAAAAACATTGATTTATCAATACAGTATTTACAGTGACAATTCAAAACAGAAATATGTGAAATTGTCCCTGTAAATGTCTTATGTAAAAATGCCGTATTGAACCAGACCAGAAAAGAATGAACATTGGCAGAAGCACCACCTGCTCTTGAACTGAGAGATTCTGATGTAAGATTAGACTTTCTGAACTATATCTTTCACCAAAACAGTTACATAAAAAAAAGCTGTAGCAAAAGTTCAGACTAGTGTCATCACAATACAAAAAAACCTGATTTTGATACTATTACTCTTTATTTAGGCAAAAGAATGTTATTTTCCATGTTAAATCCTAGTACTTTTTCTGTTCCCATGTGGTTTTGTGTGTGTGTAATGTTCAGTGGTCCGGTGGTCACACTGCTCCATTCTGCTACAGCTCAACATTAATCTATGGTTCATTTCTGTCCTGTGAAAGTGACTTGATCAAGATCTCCACAGTATCGATACCTGTTCAAATGAGTATCTAGTTTCGATACTTGTTTTAGTATGGATTAGTATCTGATTTTTGTTACTTATTTTTGTGGTTATTTTTTTTGAGCTTGTCAAAGTCTGATCCCGTCAGATCTCAGGAGCTCAGCAGGTCTGGGCCTGGTCAGTAGAGCCACAGGGGGCACCAGCCACAAAAACCGTCATTGTGCCCTTCGACAAAACACTTCACCCACAGTGCCTGTTATCAAAGTGGTGTGTGTGTGAGAGTGGGTGGTGGTCGGAGGGGCTGATGGTGCTGATTGGCAGCCTCGTTTCTATCAGTCTGCCCCAGGGCAGCTGTGGCTACAGTCTTAGTTTACCACCACCGGGTCTGAACTGTAAAGTGTCTTTGAGTGTCCAGAAAAGTATTATATAAAACTGATACATTATTATTTCCCAGGCATGTCCCACCAGGAGGAGGCCCCAGGGAAGACCCAGGACACGCTGGAGGGACTATGTCTCTCGTCTGGCCTGGGAACACCTCGGGGTTCCCCCGGAGGAGCTGGAGGACGTGTCTGGGGTGAGGGAAGTCTGGGAGTCCCTGCTTAGGCTGCTGCCCCCGCAACCCGGCCCCGGATAAGCGGACAAAAATGGATGGATGAATGGCATTATTATTATTATTATTATTATTACTGTCCAGAAACACACAGAGCAGCCAAAAGGTGGGAAAAGTACTACCTAAATAAAAGTAACTTAAACAGTAACAGTCGAGAAGAAACATCTGATTTATAATGTGAAGTGAATGTCATGTGAAGGACAAAACATTAAATATAACACAAAATCTGGTATTTCCAAAGGACTGACACAAAAATGAGACAAATTAAATCAGATGAAGGAGCTGCAAGAAACACAAATGTTCAAATCATTTCAGATTATTATTTGTCACTTTAGACTCACTCACAGTGGGAGGAGGAAGCACAACTTTTATTCTACTCAACAGTACAGTACTCAACAGTACTGTTACTCCAATAAGAATATTACTCAAGTAGTAGTAGTAGTGTAAGTAGAGAAGTAAATAAGGAGTCAAACGTCAGATGGCTGCCACTGCTTTTCTCTGCCTAAAGACATTCAGCAAAAATCTAAACATTGGGATAAATGCTGAGTTTATCCACTTTCATTCTGTTGGATATTTTTTGATAATGTGGTTTATCAAACAAAAGTTTGTGAAGGTGAAAAGAACTGTAAGGTGCTTTACAGTATGTTATAGTCCTGCTACTATTTGAAGCAAGATGTCTTCTTCTAAGTTAGTGGGTGAAATGGCAGAGACAGGATTCTGTGTTCTCCATGTTAAAGAACATCAAAGAAATGGTTGAAAAACAGGAAATACTGACAAGCTCCTGAACAGAGGTGGATGAGAGGACCTTGTGATCTCTACAGATCAGACATGAGAGCTGTGCTCGAGCTGCTGGTCCAACTGATGATCAAAGGTGAGGACACACCATCTGAGGAGCTGCACACCCTGCAGCAACAAGTGATCTGATCCTTTGGTACAGGTTCATTCTGTCTTCAGCTCTAAACTTAGAAACAACAATGCCAGGGTCATCTGTGCTGAAACAACAAAGACCATTAAGATCCTCAAAAGAGGTTCAAGGAGCATGAATCATGGTGAGGGAGCGTACACCCTGTCACACACATGTGCTGCAGAGATGGAGAAGGTGTCAGACTGTAGGGGGCGTAAGCTTCTCCTACTACAAAACCA